AGTGTTACATATAATCATGTCGATCGAATTTTATTTTAGAAAACCTTCTATGGCATTATCTGCCCCAACTCTGCGTTAAAGATATGTGATGATGAACATTTTACCCTAATTATGCTACTTTTATGTATATTATTAGTTGTATTTTACTTTAATTTTGTGAATTGTTAATCCTTTTAATACAAGAATTTAAAGTGGATCCTTTTCATCATAGTGAATATATCGCGTACGCTCTACGCCATGTGAAACGTGAAAATCGATTTGAGGGATGTCATATCTAGAGAGTCACATACACTATGGAATCACTCATTGACTATTGTTTGTGGCACACTTTAGTAACTATCGTAATTCATATTCGTTCTTGCATTTATTACACTAAAATTAAAACTTCTTGTCCCTACATGTACACATGTATGTTGATGACCATACATTTCCTCTAATATTATTTCTATCGTTCTCTCCAAAAGTGTTTTGATGAATGATTTCATATCAAATGAAATCAATTTTACACTATTCATCATCGAATTTGACGAAATTAAGTATCCAACCATTGTTCTTACAAGTTCACAAAACATTTAAATTACATTTTATTTCATTAATTTTTAATATAGTTCTGCTATAGAATAAAATATTATTTATATTGTATAACACCTGTACTACTGTCTCATATAATGGAAAACATTTTGTTTGTTTACAGTAATAATTGTGCAATAAGACAGATAGCCATAGCAACATTGTTTAATTAAATTTCCTTTCATTTATTATTTCGAAATTATCTACGCTTCGGCAATCGACTGCCATTATCAAGACAAAAGCATGTTATGAAGCAGTAAAACACAATAAAAGAAAGAGAGAAAACAAGATATACATATACATTTGTTCGCTCGATTAACCATTCAGATGAACGACAAATACCTTTGCCATTCAAATATACTGTTTGTGGGTGTGATATAGAGACCACCACATCATATTTTTTGTGGTACTTTCCTTTCTGTGAAATAAGGTAGAGATTGTTTTTTTGCTATTTCGTGAAAGCATTATATAAGCTATGCAACTAAAAATTTTTGTTAATTAAAATTTTCATCCAAGTATGACAAAATTGAATGCAACTTACATCAAGTAAATCACACGAGAACGCACGCAAGCTATTTATAACACGTTTTTTTATATATAAAATAAACTAATCTTACAATCTACCTCAATTTAATGCAGCAGAAATAATTTCAGATTCAATGAATTAAAATATGATTCCATCACGAAGTCTTTTTGTTTCTGAACAGTTATATTCTTCAAGTTTTCTTCTTTCGTATGCATAGTACGTAATCGAACTTACAACTTTCTTGTAGAAATTTTTTCCTTAACGGCTTTAGTTAAAATAAGTTTCTCAGTTCTTTATGTAAGACTCAAACTCGAGGTTCATTTTTGATATTATACAATGACTAGTGCTCAGCATGGCACATTATTATATCAATCACGGATACAAAAAATAATCACATATCCTATTCTGCGTTGAGCGCATTGATTTTCCCACAACACAAATAATTTCATATTTTTGACTTATTTCGATAATTTTTTCATTTCTTTTTGAATCAAAACAACTAGACATGAATATCACAGGAGAAATTAGAACTCACAAAAATTGAAAATTTTTTTAGGACAAATCAAACTTGTGGATTAGGATCAAATGAAATTTTAAACTTTCTTGAGTGCTAATTTATTCTGTGACAAAAACATCACAACAAGAGTAAAACATAATAGAAATACATATACTATTGAACGAAAACACATTACAAGTTACTATTTCATTGAAACAAATCAAAGAAATCAACAACGTAATTTTCATCTTGGCTAATAATATGCGCATTTATAGTCGTTTATGCTTTAATCGTATTTTCGTTGAAATAAACCATAGCTTAAGAAAAAAGATCAAGACTTCCAATAAACTAGAAAGTATGATCATCACCAAAAGGTTTGATCACGTAGAGCACTCATCATGGTCCTATATTTCAATTATAAAATTGTCAAAGAAGCTTTCAATCTAATGGAACCCTCAAGATGTGCAGAGCAACTTGACTTAATTATGTTGTGCAAATTTCATCTGCATTCAATTTCATTCGGTTGAGATTTAAAAAAAAAAATACAGAATCAAACAAAACATCATTTTGTTATGGTGGGACATATTGTTGTCATATATTTGTAATAATCACAAAAAATGAAGTTTAAAACGGCTTCATTATTCTTGAATAGTAGAGATCTAGTTTTTAGTGAGGAAACATAACTTAATTATTCTGACACAAGTGCATGTTTTTTCTAGTAGACGAAGATCTGATTTTTTTTTTGTGATTAGTATTTAATGGTTATAATTTTTCTTTCAAAATATTCATAATCAAGCTAATTTAATCTTATTTGAAGAATGTTCACTATCTTCGATAATTATTATTTCTAATAAGATTATAAATTTCAGAACAATTCTTTTCTTCAATAATATTTCATTGTTGTTTGTCATATATATTTTAAAGCTTTAAAATTTACAACATCAGAAATTTCACTGTGCGATATTGGACATTCAAAAACATGAATAACAAAATAAGAATCGACATTATACAACAAGAAAAGCTAAACCAAAACAAAAAAAACTAAGAAATGTTTCTTTTATTTTATTCTGTTTAATCAAATGAAATTAATGTTTGTTCATTTGATTGCATAGATGGATGTACAGAATAAGGTTGTTGGATTTGAGATAATGGCGGTGCAACAGGTTGATGTGAAGCATCTGACAATGCTATAATCGAAAAAGAATATGTCATTTATTGTAAGTTATAAACAAAAAACTTCTTTTGACATTTTATATATGTATATACTACTTACGTCCCATGGAGAATGAATTTGACGTTAATTGGGAAGGAAGCGTTGGATGTTGATAATGATAATAACCGACAGATGACAATGGTTGAACATACGGAATCTAATTAAAATATTTAAAAAAATTAAATACGAATAAAAAAACAATCTTTAGACTTTACTTGATTGATACGATAATCGACCTGATTTTGTTGTTCACGTTGTTGAGTATAACGTCGTTGTTGATCAAGACGTGCTTGCATTTCAGCTTCCTGTTCACCAAGACGTTGTAAATGTATTTGTCTTTGATATTCCAAATAAGCCTAATTAAATTTAATAAAAAATAGATGATGAATATCTTTTTTTTTTTTATTCACTTGTTTCTTTTGACGCATATCATCGAGTTTAACAGCTAATTGTATTTGACGTTGTCTTTCACGTTCAAATGCTTGACGTTTTTTATTTTCAATATGTTCATCACGTAATGCATTTAAAGCTTCTCGTGCGTCCTTTAATTGACTTAATTTATCCTGTAAACTTTCATAATAAGCTAAAATAGATTACAGTTTTGTGTGGTTTTTTTATTAAAAAAAAATACATAAATACAAACCTTGCTTATCATCAAGTAATTTTATATAACGATGTAGTTCAGGATACATATGTTGAAGAATAAAAAAAACAGATTGTACAGCTGTATCATTAGCGATATTTCGGCCACGTTGTTGATTACTTAACATACGAAATTTAATATTATTTATATGTTCATTAGCAGAACTAATAAATGCATCAATTTCATCGTCACGCACATAATTATCTAATGGATCCTTAAAGAATACAAAAGAAAAAAAGAATTATTCATTCGATTTTCTTTTTGAAACATGAACATACTGTCTTAACGATTGTTGTTCCAAGATCTTTTTGTACTTGTCCTTCCCAATAATTTCGATCTAAATATTTAGCTAATTCACCACCGACAGTTTTTTGTTCGTTATCATCCTATTATATAAAAAAAACAGACCAAGGTTAGGACAAATCTTGACCTTTACTATTAGATAAACATATGTTCTAGATAAATTTCAACCTTCATATATCGATATTTATTCTAGAATAAATGTAATTTTTAATACCTGATCAGCTATTGGTGCTGAACCTAGTGGTGTCGGAGGAGATTGAATATTTGACATAGCATATTGCTGAGTTAATAATTTCTTTTGACGTTCTTTTTCTTCAGCTTCACTTTGAGATAACGAAATCGCTAATTGAAGAGCATGTTCTTCATCAAATTCAGCTTGGCTTTTCCCTTTGGATATATTTGTTGATGATGGTCCTGATGTTGATAGATGTACACTACCAGTTCTTTATAAAACAAAAGAAAAACAAAATTATTCTTTGTTTTCTTTTATTAGAACTCGAATGATTAAGCAACCTACGCTGTTATACGATCATAACATGATTCACAGACTCGAACTTCATCTTCAATACCAAATTCGAGTAATTGACTTGATTTAGATGAGCCTACATCCAAATAAATTTATATCTAAGTAACTTAAATAAAAATACATACAAGTCGCACAAAATGTTTCTCCACATGCTCGACAATGATGTCTACGAGTAAATGCTGAAAATGATGTATGACAACGAAAACAAGAATCTCGATCAGTCCTAAAGAAATGATTTTAAAAAAAAGAAAAAACAATAAAAAATAAACTTTAAAAGTACAAACCATGCAGGTGGAGCTTGTGTAGAAAACATTATTTATTAGTTTTTTTTTATTTAATACGAATGTTTCAATGACACAGAATATTAATAGTTAAGATAAAAACAAAAAATTTATTTACATACACGTCATTAAAAAAATTGACAATAAGATATGAGTCAATTCGACGTGATGTTAAAGATATTGTTTTATTATTGGTTAAATTCTTTCACCAATAAAATATTCTAAATAACACATGATTCATCGTCGACGTAGATCGTTCGATTCTCCCATTTATTACACTATGGTTAAATGTTTAGGTGTACATGTTCTACCAATCCATACGACTCTGTTAATTATATATTTTTGCGCGTGATTCTTAACTGACAAATATATATATATAGAGCCTTGATATATAATTAATTAAAAACTAATTTTTAAAGAAAAATAATTTTCAATCAATAAAATGAGTTTGATGCCAAGTGATGAAGTATCTTTATTAAATGATGGTCGTTATAAAAATTTTATTGCTACATTAGAAAGAGTTCTTAAACAATTTGAATACTCATCTGAATGGGCTGATCTTATAACAAATCTAGTCAAAGTTAAAAAAGTAAGTAGAAGTCAAAATGTTTATTTACTTTTTTTTTTTTTTAATAAATCTTCTATTAATATAAAGGCTATTGAAAGTTATCCAAAATTTCTTTCTATACCTAAACGTATAACATTATCAAAACGTCTTGCACAATGTCTTCATCCAGCATTACCATCTGGTGTTCATTTAAAAACTCTTGAAGTATATGAAACAATATTTCGTATGATTGGAAAACGAAATTTACAACGTGATATTATTTTATATTCATGTGGTTTATTTCCATTATTACCAGCAGCAGCATTACCTGTTAAACCTGTTTTATTAACATTATATGAAACATATTTTTTACCATTAGATGATGCACTTAATCCAATTTTAACTGGTTTTTTACTTGGATTATTTCCAGCATTAGAAGAAGGTGCAGATTATTATGATAGAATATATACATTACTTGATAATCTTTCAAATCGAATTGATAAATTTTATTTTTATACATGTATATGGTCAGCTATACATTTAGTTGCATCTGCAAGACATTCAGCATTAACATTTATATTAAATCATTTTGATAAAAAAAAAACTATGGAAGATCAACTTTATTTAATGGGTTCATCTGTTGAAACAATGGTATAAAAGAATTGAATTAAATTAAATTAAACTAAACTACATTAAGAAAATTTTGATCTCTTATTTTGTATAGGTATCGGCTGTATGTACATGTCTTCAAGATCGTGAACAATCATTAGTTCAACGTTCTATACTTGATTTTCTTCTTATATGTTTACCAATGCATAATAAACAATTAACTAAAATTGATATGATGAAAATAATAACTGTTGGATTACATGTATTATTAAAACGTGATATGTCATTAAATCGACGTATATATGCATGGTTTCTTGGTACGGAACAATTACCAATTGATAATAGAAATCAACAACAACATATAAGTGAAATACATGCATCAACAACGTCATTAACTATAACAAATGATCCATTTGATTCATCATCATATTTTATTCAATATACTAAAGAAAATTTAATACAATCAATATTACATGCACTTGAAACAATATCTTCAAATACATTATCAACAACAGGAAAATCTAAACCAACCACGCCAGATGAAAATAGTGCATTAGTAACAACTATTGCTGAGTCAATGCCATCGACTTGGACATTAATGAAATTAATTCGTGTTCTTATTATTCTCGGTAAGAATCTAATCATTTTGTTTTCTTCGAAAATTATTATTTTCTAAAGTTAAGACATTATTATGATTTATCTTTTGAATATAAATTTATCATACACTAATTTGCTTGAGATGTACATCAATTAGTTAATCAGTCAAGTTTTTTCTTTTTTTAGCATTCGATATCTCATTCTTATACTCATATCATTTTCTTATAAACATTCATTTAAAGGATTATAAATTAACAAAATTTATATCAAGAGTTATGTTGTTTCTTTTTTTGTCACCTGCTAGTCTTATAAAAGGTTATAAAGTAAAAATTGTATGCGTAACAGACGAGAAAACATATTTCATAAATTTAAAGAAAGTCATAGTTTCTTATAAAATGATTAATATTTTTGCAAAAATCAATTCCTTTTAATAATTTTGTTGCGGTATGAATAATGACCATGAAATTTGTTTATTATGACATTACTTCAAAAGAAAAACATGTAGATAAGATTTTGTTTTCCTCACAACGAAAATCAAATAAAACGTAATATTCAATGAGAATCTTATAAAATTAATTTTCTTATATTTAATTTAGTTGATAAACCAGATGTTGGTCCAAATATTCTTGAATCTGTTTTAATGAGTTATTTATTAATTGTTTATCAACAAATCTATTTACCAGCTAAACAATTAACATCAATAAATGTTCAACAAGAAAATCATCGTTCTGAAACGTTAAAAACTTTAAATATGCTTCTTGATACATTTGAACCATATTTTATATGGGAATTTTTAACAAAAAATTTCGATATTATTATAACTGAACAACAAGATCAAATAATTATAACAGCCGGAACAACAATTGAACAATTATGTGGAATAATAAATATGTTACTTGATATTGCTTCATTAGATTCATCAACTGATATACAATCTGAACATTTACCTGAAATGCTTTATCATTTTATAAAAACAATGAATAATAATATAAATAAATTTACAGCTGATCAAATAACATTATGTGTTGAAGTTTTATTAAAAATTTTAAAAAAAGTTGTACCAACAAATACAACACATCGTTTATCAATATTTCATCGTTCAACAAGTGATGATATTCTATCATTAACCGAACAAAATCAACCAATAGATAATATATTTGATGAAAATTTAACTGATAGTGAAACAGATGATGATGATGATGGTGATGATGATGATATAAGTCCTGAACAAATATTTTATACTGATAATGAATATTTAACTGATACAAATAATCAATTAACACCAACAAATAGTACAAATCAATTACAAGAATCAATTATAATAAATGAACAACAATCTTTAAATGATATTGAACGTCTTCTTCGTCATATGGTACGTAAAGTTGAAAAACAAATTAATAAATTAAATAATGAAAATAAAAAACTTTTAAATGAACAACAAACAACAACATTATTAACAAAAACAATGTTACAATCAATGAATCATTTAGAAAAATCTATTACATTATATAAAATATTTTTTCATCGTTTTATAATAACATTTTTAATTGATAATAATAAAATAACAATGTATGAAAAATTTCAAAATATTTATTCCATAACACAAAAAAAAACCAATGAAAATATTTTAGCACTTTTTAATCATTATCAAACACAAAATGAATTTCAATTAAAATTAAATGATAATGTCGATTATTATAAACGTGCATTTGATGATTGTTGTAAATTACTTATTGAATTTTGTTGTTTTCAAAGACAATCATCGATAACAGATCAATCAACATTATCAAAAGGTATTCAATTATTAAAATATTTTTCTATTTTATTTCTTCTATTCATTCAATCATTCATTATAATATTGATGAGAAAAAAATTCTTTAATAACACTCAAAATCATTTATTATTAATAGATCTATTCGATGATAGACAATTAATGAATGACGTAGATTAAATAGGGCAAAAGCATGTTTTCTTTTCTCTCACTCAGATCAAAGATCAGACCCATCTCATCTTTGACTAAGATCTACTTTCAAAAAGTCATTCGATAAACTATTCCGGAAAATAGAAAGTTTCTCTAGAGAGATTACTGTAAAAGACGAATGAAGGACTCTAGGGATTCTATCGTGTCCAGACAAATTTAGTTTTTCGAGAAAAGTTTCACAGATGCTATTAAATTAGTCTTAATCTGATGCCATCTGTATATAAAAAAATGTTTCTTCAGATGTCAAATACTCATGAATAAGAATAATCTGTAATAATCATTTTCGTTTTTCATAGACGTATGAAATCATAATTAGCATGTGTTCTATGATCGTCACTCTGTTTGAAAACAAGTATTTGAATATTACCACAGATTAATAAATTCATATTTCTTCTGTTCATAATACTATAATATAGTATGGGTGCGTAACTTCGTTGAGTTTTTCAAAGTTCTACTAGCTTCTTTTATTACGAAGGGTTTATTTCCTTTTATTTTTCAAAATAATGTATTGTCAGCCTCAAAAGATTTGCAAATATTCATCGATTTTCATGAGTCTCGGCTCATTTAAACTAATCCTACATAGGAAACATTTTGCATTAATAAATAAAAAATTTCATGCTTTCTGCTTTGACGACCTTCTCAAGGTCGCTGGTAGTATTTTTACGAAGAAAAAATGGCTTGGGGCTAACACATAATGATATATTTTCGAAAATCATTCTTTTTTCTAAAGTAACACTTAGTGCATGAAACGTTCAATGTCATGTCTTCGGATATAGAATTTAATTCTGAACATAATAATATGATTCTTAAGCTGATGAATAAGCACGACTTATTTTAGTCGAATAGAAAAAGTAGCAATGACATCTTTCTGTCAGAAAAATGTTTGTTTTGAGTGTTTTTATATTTTAATGATAGGGTACAAAATTTTGTGACCTATTTTAAGTGTTAGCAGAATTTTTGTAATTATTTTCTTGCTTTTCTTTGACAGTCGTAGTTATACGATTGAATAGACGTTAATCTTATGAACAAGAAAATGTCATTAGAAAAATAAAGACGATAGTTGTATAGACAGGAAAATTTCTCTATCCAACTACTTCCTGAAAGCATATACAAGTATCCGGATAAAAGGAATATGATTTTTCATATTTCTATGATTTGACAAAAAGAAATATTGACTTTTTTACATAAGATTAACGAAGCATTAACTAGAAAATATGCCAAATCAAGTTATTAAAATAGTGATGATGGTTAAAGATCAACGGAACTCGGATGAGTACATGAATGAAATTTTCAGAAAAATATGATTGTTCCAGACTGAAATAATATAAATGAACATTACATTCATTTTCTCACTATATTGATTGGGTATTCATAGAATTCTGAATGGAATAAACTAAATATTAAAAGATATTCATCAATGAACGAATATATTTAGAATCTACAAGATGATTCCGAAGTTATCGAGCAAATTTTTGATTGCAAATAACTTTTGATAGAAACAAGAAAGAGAGCTGCTGGAACTTTCATCGTTGAAGAGAAGTTCGAACCAGACAAAAAACATAGTGTTGAAAAACATTGTAACGAGAATTTTGAAAAACCAAGATTAAACCAACTAGAATTTAAAGTACTATGGAAATTTTGAAAACCTAGATTTTTCAAAACTCTTCTAAAATGTTTTTAAAAATGATATTCTTTATATAGTTCAATCCTATTTTCAACGGTGAAAATCATAGCTCTCTCTCTCTCTTGTTTCTATTAAAAGTTATTTGCAATCAAAAACTGTTTGGTGACTTTTGGATCGCTTTGTACATCATTCTATTGTACCATGTACTAGCGAAAATGATTAATCAATTGAAGGAAAACTTTTAATTTCATCATGCGATTGGTATTGATACTGTGTAATAAATTTTTTAAAAAAGCTCAAAAAACATTTCTAGCTCGAATATTAAAATAGCCATATACATTCGAAATACTTATCTCTTAAATTACGATCAAATAATCCTTGTAAACACTCATATCCTAATTAGAGATATTAGTAAAAAAACTGAAGTTGTTTATCTCAACTATAGTCCTATTCCAGTTCACTTGAAATCAAGGAGGAACAAACTGATTTAGTGATTTTTATCATGGGAAATCATTTATCTGTTCACCATGAATCAAAAATAATCATCAAAAATGCTTAGAAATAAAGGAAAATAAAAAAAATCATTAAAAATCAGGACTTTATTTTTAATTTTATTACTACAGATTTTCTATGATTCAGAATGATCTCTGATAGTTCTCGATAACTTGTAACCATTTACAATTAGTAGTAATATTTTTAACGCGTTATATTGATTTTTGGGGGGACGGAAAGGAGGCACGACACCCTGTTTCTAAAATCCGCCTGTATAACGCCTCTTCTTTGTTCGTACAGTGCCCTCTTTTCTAGGGGTCAATCGTTCTGCTCCTTATGCCATTGTCTTCAATGCTAGGTTATGCCTTTCTTTCTAAGTAGCATAAAAACATTTCTTATTTAAAGTCAATCTTGAAAAATTTGAAACTATTTTTGTATGATAGGTAAAAATGATTTTGATGATTGGTCAATTGATTTATGTGTATTATCCGTTTGTGAAAGTGGTCATTTTTTTATTCAAACAATTGCAATATCTGTTTTAATTGAATTACTTGGTTATACATTATATCTTTGTAATCCAAAATCTGATAATGATTCAAATGAAATTTTGACAGGAACAAATTTAACATTACCAGATAATATATCAATAATACCGTCATTTAATCAAGAGCAAGTATCATTACTTATAAATGAAACACTCTTTTTTCAACATATAACTGCTTATTTATGGGAACATTTAAGTGATAAATATGAACGACAATATAATTTAAAAGCATCACGTTTATTATCAATGCTTCATTCTATGTTACCAAATGGTGATTGTGAAGATTTAATATGTAATCAATTATCTTTAACACATATACAACAATATGAAAATGAAGCAATTATAATTGATGCATATAAACGTTTTTTTAAATTATGGAATTCTACTCGTGATATATCCATAATTACATATGGACATTTATCTAAAACATTTGAACGATGTTTACTTATTGTTATGAGTATTCTCAATGAATCAAATAATCGATGTTTAAAATCAATGGTACAACAATGGACATATGATTGTTTTATTCATGGTAGGGAATAAACAAAATTCTTTGTTTTTGTTTTTTTTTATTTTTATTTTTGTTTAGGAGATATGAATCGAATATTTGATATACTTCTTATTATGTTATTACATCCAGATACAGCACGTATAAGTGTACAAAGACTTCATCCTATAGGACATAAAGAATATTTTCCTAATCGACAACTAAATTCTATTGATCAATTATCAAATAATTCAAATTTTCAAGGACAAGAAAGTAATATTAGTAATGATACAGATGATACAAGTGTTGGTGATATTAATGAAATAACATTTTCCGTATCGATTGATGATAGAAATAATGATGATTATATTGGAGAAGATGATGATGATGAAAATTATAATGATGATGATGAAATTGAACAAGAAGAAAGTGATGATGAAAAACGAGTAGGTCTAGAAAACATTTTATTTGCCCCTAGGTAAAAATATACGGATGTAATTCTGCTAGGAAATCAATAGAATTAAATTGTAATATTTCAAACTAAAAATTTTCCGGATTTTCCCAATCAAATTCTTATTTTTTCCGGCGGAATATACCTGAAGTTCATTAAAAAATTACGAAAATTTTTTCCATTCGAAATATGACGTTCAATTTTAATTAATTAAAGTGATCAGCTCACAAGTTATCATAGATCCAGAATTCCCAAATTATTTCTTCTAGGAAACATCTGAGTCGCAAAGGCTAAAAAATTTCCTCCTTTGACAATGATAATAAGTCAAATATGGCTTGAATTCTTTTTTTCTATCATCTTTCATTCGAACAAAAAGATCTAAACATTGAGGGTACCTCGAAAAGTACATGATTTTTTTTTACTAGAACTCTTTCTTTTATAAAAGCAACATTACAATATTTTTAAAACAAAAAACACTAGGTACTCGGATTAATGTCTAATACTTGTATTTAAAAAAGATTTCAGCTCGATCGAACATACTCTGTCAGAGAAACGATGGCAATTGAGCACGACGGGTCTTGTTTTTTTCGAACTAAAATGATCGAAAGTTGGACGTGTTGAGTGGTACTCTCAGCACATGTAGAACTTGTCAACAGGAGAAACTTGCATACAAACAACAATGATAACGTGAGTTTTTCTGCTAGAGATAATAAAAATACTAACTAACAATGAAGAGTGCATCTGACAGAACAAACTTCGAAGCTATATTAGCAAGAAAAAATAAAAAACCGAAAGAGTTTCGATTTTAACAATTCGGAAAGGGAACAGGAAACCCATAGAGATTCATAATAATTGTTCTATTGCATCTTTAGTAAACTATTCTGCCATTGTCTGTATAATTCATATAATGTTTTAACTATGCACTTTCAATTGATGTTTCTGTTTCATGAATATTATCAAATATAGCCTTGTTGCATCAATATTTGGACTTTTCGTTTCTTTTTGGCAAGGTCATTTGTTTCCATTGATTTCATAGGTATTTTTTCGCAGTCTCTTCTTGTAATACGTCATTTTCATATTGAGTAACTTGTATTACGTTTACATTTTTTACTCGTAGACCTTAATTTAAAATTAAAGGAACGAATAGGAGCAAAGAGTAACGATATGAATATCGCCCATAGCATCTGTACTATACGGAACAAGGAAAGAATGAAAAATAGAGGTGAATCACACTATAACGCATTTCAATTTATATATATAAATATTTTTTGATTTAATTGACTGATAGTATATTTTATTAATTGATCGTTAAATTTATAAATAAATATGATTCATCAATAACTAACTATTAAAACTATGTACTTGTGATTCATCGAATTTACTAGCCCAATATTTTGTTCTCCTTTCTATCGAATATGTTCATTTTTTCAAATCTTTTCGATTAATGCTAACAAAATCCGTTTTTTTCAAAAGCTCAGAAATCATAAACCTGAATTGAATACATTAATGTTGTATGCAGTAGGAGAGCTGAAGATGCAGCGCCTCTCTCGAAATTTGTGGTTATTATACAGTAGCGCGAGAAATCACGCCACTAGATAAAAAAGTACATAAGCTGGATATCAAGTGGCTCATCATGAAGGCCGATCAAATCTTGATGAATACTTATGGTTTGAGTTCAACATGTTCTATTTGTGGTTAAACTATGAGACTAGAGGATTAAATATAGAGTAGTTTTTGCGACCATTTTAGTACGTACTATATGCGACTATGCTGCTAAATAGAAGTGTTTGCCTGCTCAACGTTTTAAATCGCCCTTTTGGAAGAGAAAAATCAAATTGAATAATGAAAGAAAATTAAGTGTTGCATTCGATAGAAGAATATCGAATGTGTATTAACATAATATTTTCTCAACACTTCCATGTGTCTGCATTTGAATTAATATGCAGATCTTTTACTATGATGACATTTATAAGACTCTGGTGGTTATTTATGAAAAAAATTCCTTTCAAATTTCAAATTCTTTTCCCCATATTTCTTTTTTCATATTAAATTAAATTTATTCAAATAAAATTCGTTCAAACGAAATGTCATTAGTTTTAATGTCGTTCTCGACAAAAATGAAAAGTTCAGTAACGCTTTATTATCGATAGTTATTCATTAATAAAACTTTGCTAAAACTAAAACTTAAAGCATATTTGAAAAGCTCTTGAGAAGTTCTACAACAATATCCGTAAAAGTAATTTAAAGAACAATTGTAATGAACAAAAGAAAATTGGTTTCCTTCCAATAGGTGGCATTTGAAGTTAGAGGTTTGACATTGGTACTTGATTTTTTTCAAAAAAACCAATGTCTATCTTCAGACCAGTAAAATAAAAAGACACTTATCAAAATCCATTAAATAGAATTCGACTTATAAACAACTATCTTTTTGAGATATAGCACTACAATGCTTTTGCTCTTCATTAATATATGAAAAATAATAATGATTACTTTTTTTTTTCTTTAAATAGATAAGTGGTATAAGCTGCTCGGATACAGGTGAAATTGTCTATCATATAAAACAATCATCTCCTCAACCAATGAAAATAAATTCAACAAAACCTCCACCAACTTTAAGTCTTTCTCAACCAAGTCTTTCGAATAGTCGATCAGCATCTCCAACAGCATCATCAAGATCTGTTAAACGTCGTGCACCAACAATGCCAACAGTCTTTAGTCGTAATAATAGTGGTATTGAAACAGATAGTACAAAAGGTAGTAATAGTAATATTCAACGAATGTATACATCACTTCATGAAGATACAACAAATGAAATTGATTCTCTAACTGATACTCAATTAACAAATTCAAGTATAATTTCAAGTTTAAATAATAATAATAATAATAGTAGTCGTCGTCCTCATTCAGTTGGTCCTATTCCACATGCTGTTACTGTTGATGGTATAACTGAACAACCAATAAGTCCATTAAAATCTTTAAATGAATCCGATTCATTACCAATAAATAATAATTCAACAAAAAAAATTGAATCAATGGATCGTTCACGTAAAATTGATTCACATTTAGCTTATATTTTATTGTATACACAACCATATGATTATAATCGTATAACATTTGCTTTGCATACAATTGAAACATTAATTGATTTAATCCCTCAACAATTAATTCATGCATTATTACAAACAACAAATATACAATTATCACCAATAAATATTCATAATAAACGTTTACATGAACTATCATTAAGACATCGTCATGCTATAGAAGGAAAAAATTTTTATTCATCGATTGAAAATATTATAAATACTCAACATCAATCATATTTATATACATTATTAAATATACTTTTAATATATACACGTACATATTATTCAAAATCATTTGAACATCGTTTAAATTCATATGATTTACAAGGTAATCGTAAAGTTCATATACGTTCATTAACATTATTGAAACGTATATGTCGTGATATATCATCAATATGTATGGAACATATACAAATAAATATGGTATTAATTAATTATATAAATGATTTATTTCAAAAAATATCATTTCAAAAGACAATTTTACATTTATTTAATACTATTATTGAAAAACTTAATTCAAAACAACGTTTAATTAAAATAAAAACATTAACAAAAATTATTTATGATTATAATATTGAATCATATTATGATGAATTAACAAGACAATATTTAAGAGAATTAGTACAATTATTAGAAGAAATTATTTTACTTGAAAATATTCTTCGTTATTATCAACAACGTCCTGATATAAATCCTAATCAAAATATAATACAAACATTTGCATCGAATATTCTTTCATCAGTAACATCAAATAGTTTACAAATAACAACAAATGATTATTCAAATATATCATTATTTCAATCTCGTAATTATTCTGATATTGATTTTATTAATTTAATAACAAAAACAAATCAAATTAATTCAACAACTAATCCATTACGTTATATTGATAATCAACCAATTGTTAATCAGAGTCTTTTTCTTTCATCAATATTACAATATTTAAAACAAATTGATTTTATTGAAAATCATTGTCATATTATTAGTTTAGTGGTACGAATATTACCACATTGTGGTTCTTCATTAAAATCAATAAGTAGTTTAGTTATTGAACAAATATGTCGAAATTTATGTTTTGTTGTTCAAACTTACCATCAACAACAACAAGGAAATAAAATTAGATTCAAGTATGAGAAAGCTTTAAAATTTTTCTGTTGAAAGTATTTATCAGACAAGAAGAGAAAAACTAGGACTAGATAGAATATTTCTTTAATATTAAAAGTAAATTTTATTAAAAATTTAAATGTAATTCTATTATCAAGAATATGAGTTTTCGTTTGAATAAAATTTTATGAAACATAATCCAAAAAGCAATGTTGAAATATAATGGTAAAACTTTGAACCATTCTCGTCCTTCATCAGATACTCTTTAGCATCCATACTCGCACACACCCTGATGCTAATGACGTTTGAACAGTCAGCACGGCTAAAGAGAAGTCAATGAAGAATTTTACTAGTGCTAGGTTTAAGTATCCTCTATCTATGATGAAAATTCCGAAGTTTTCATTTATTATCGAGAGAATGTAGATGTTATAATTTTAAAAAAAAAGAAATTCCATGAGCTTTAACTGTATGATAATGCATCCTCCATTTCGTAGCTAAGTGAGCGTACTTTCTGTTTTTAAATCAATCCTGCACGACCTCCTTTTTCGAGTTTCTTGAGAATGGCCCGATGAAAAACTATGAATCTTTTCAAGACAGATATAATCTTGATAATTAGAGCGAAAGTTGTCATAGACTTAATTTCCAGATGCTGCTTTCAGGAATGCATAGGAGTCACAAAAGATGAAATATGGACAGAAGTTTCCCGCCCTCCATCCAAAACTCTATACATCATTTTTTGAAGCTACTGTATTCTTTAATAACTACTACGGCTGAATCGGAGTGCATGATTTTTTTTTTCTTTGAAAAACATTGTTCGTAGAGTTCAGAAGAAACAAAATACTAAAATCATCGTTCAAAAATGTGTTTTTTCAAAAAGACTGCCAAATTTCGTCGGAGCAACATTCTGACCAAAGAGAAACACGCATCTCAGTTCGATCAAAGTACTCATAAGAAAAATTAAGCCCAATCAGACGTCTCATATGAGAGAAAATGACAGAAAACTTTCAGTCTCTTGTTCAAAACTTAATGTCGAGAAGAAAAATGTCATGTATTTATCAGAACTTTGCTCTCCATCAAAAATCATTATCATCGGAGAAATTTCGTATAGAAAAGAACGATCGTAGCGCAAGTTTTTCTGCTATAAGTCTCTGAAAGTTGTATTTGATAAAAATACTAAATAATAAAGACGATCATTCATTTATATGGCATTCGATCGAGGAAATTTTGAGACCTTATTAGCACTGGAAAATAAAAAATTGAAAAAACTTCGATTTTCATAAGAAAACAAGAAAGATTAAGTTTATCAAAGGCGAAATAAACAAATTGAATAATAAACACTTTCTACTTTTAGACAATTATCCTATTTTGATGTCTTTGAATATATTATTCATTTAATTCAACGTCTTTCCTATATATGTAATTATTGTCTTCTTGGTAATGCTGTTGATAATGGACAGTTTTCAAATCAAACACTTAGTCCACAACATTGGATGAAAACAGTATTAAAAGAAATTAGTTTTATTTTTTTTTTTTTTTTATTCATAACTTTATTCTTATTTTCAGTTAACAATTAATGAACGTGACTTATCTGATGCACGTCAATCAATACTAAATCAACTTCCGTCAATACTTTCAAGTATTATATTTATATGGAAAACAATATCTGAACAATATTTATTTGATAATACAAATGATCAAATTATATCCAACATAGGACCAATTCATTCATCAACAAATATTATTTGGCCATTACATAGTGTTAAACAAATTCGTCAGACAATTCTTGATTTTCTTTCATCATTAACGAAATCCAATGGTGTTTCATTTCTCAATGCTGTTGCACAATGTTGGGGTGAACGTAAACGACCACAAAGAACACAACAAAAATCTAGTACACAATCAACATTAGATACATCATCACGTACAACAATATTAACAATGCCACGTGATAATATTGGTGAATCACAAGCTTTAATTGATATTGTTATGAATTTAAATGGATATACATTAAATGAAATGATACCAAATATGAATGAACTTATACGTAATCAATTAACAGCAAGAGATAAGGTAAATATTGAAGAAATGAGAAAACAAAAAGAAAAAGAAGCCTTTTGTTTGGATTAGTTTCTACAGTTATCGGCACTTTATAATATGAAAGTTGTACAAAAAAAATGGGTATACCTTTTTTTTTTTTTCATTTTTTTTCTCATCTTCTTATCGGTTTTATAAATGATTATATATAGCTTCATCTAATCTTTATTATTATTATTATTATTTTTCTTTTTCTTTTTTTTAATATGAAATAATTATATTGGAAATAATTTATTTTAGAAAAAACAAAATTATGATGTATGGTGTCTTCAATTTCTATTAGCATATCTTCAACAACAAAAAAATTTATCTCTCGATTGTTGGCCAACATTAGCATTTATGTTTAAAGACTGTTTATCACAATCTATCTCACCACCAGCTACATTTTTAATAATACGGTATTAATATTAAAAGAAAAAACCAATCGTTCATCATCAAATATTTTTGTTATTTTTCTTATAGAATTTTAAGTTTTTATATAAAACAATCACCATCACTTGTCGAAAGAAGAGATTTAAAAGATCTACAAGTATATATTTGATCATGAATTGAAAAAAATAATAATTGTTTTGTATTTTGTAAATAGGATATAACAATGAGAGTACTTGATAATTGTAATACAATAGTTGCTTCATCACTTGAACAAACAACATGGTTAAGAAAAAATTTACAAGTACGCGTTGCACAACCTGATAATCAATCAACTAAAAGTAGTTCAACTGGCAGTCAAACAACATCGACAGGCCTTGGTTCATCGCATGAGACTGGGAATATTCCTGTTGATGATACTGCTGATTTTGATGGTTAGTAATATTGATATTGCAAAAACGAAAGAAAAGAATAGCGAATAAAAGTTTTTGTTTTCTTTTTGTGAACCAATATTTAGCCCGTAATGCATTGTTGACAGTAGTTAATATGTTCGACAAATTTTCAGCTAAAATTGTACCGCAAACTGTTTTTAATATAGCTTTACGAGGTATTTGCTAAGAGCTAATCTAATACAACTAATCTCATCACCTATTTGAATCGAATACACTCTTTTAGTAACATTAAAAGTATAGATTTTCTAACAAGAGAACTACACGATTTGATACCGATCGCTGAAGAATCTATTGAAGCTCAAATATCGAGAGTTCAACTGCTGTGTCACCATCTATGCCACAAAACTCGAGTGAATTTTGAAAATTCCATACCTCAATGTCATAACATTCTTTGCAGCTGAAACTTTCAGAACATTCTTAAAGTCATTTGACCTGTAAATAGGTAAGGTTTCAACTCAAAATTTTCTTGTTTGATTTTTCGATAAATACCTAAACCTGAATAGATAAATCATTGGAACGATTACCACTCGGCTCTAGGAACCTATGAACACAAATCATTTCAGAATTTTTCTAGTCTTACCAAAGACTTCCATATGAACTCAGTATGATCTCGAACAGCGGGTATCAGTTCAGGTAGTTGACTCCTAAGATAATACATTCGGTTTGGTGTTATGATTATCTATTGCTAACCATTTAAATAAATAACATGCACTTTTTCTTTTGAAAGGAAAGGATCTATATTCGACTAAAAGCTCTTTCAAATGTTACTAACAAAAGATTGAAAAATTATTCTTTCGGAAAGTCGTTAGATAGTGCATGAATTTAGAAGAATCATACTGTTTTCATACGTTAAGAATAATATCACATGTTCTTTATAGTATTATTGAAATTTTGAAAATCAAAATTATAGTTTGTTTGTAAATGTTATTAAAAAAAACTAACAAGACTTATGCCGAAAAAGAGATAAAGATGTCACATATACATAGATCTGAGTCCTATAGGATTACTAAATTCATTATATGAAACTCCGCTAAGCAATTTTCATGTTATTGTTTTTATCTAAACAAAAATAGTTGATCCTTTGGAATTTCTTTCGATTATAAAAAAGAAAAACCGTGTCATAACTTACCCTCAATAGATTTCTATTAATCACGGATGAAATGAAGAACAAATTTTACTAATAGTTTATGATTAATAATCCTTTTAACACATTTATAACCGTTTTTTTTTTGTTTATATACAATTCATTCTTTTTCTCTGTGAAACTAGGTGTAACACAAGTTAATAATACAGGAGACCTTACAAACAATGGAAATTTTAGTTATCTAGCATTATCAGTTCTTGCTGAACATGCTGCAACATTACTTGATATAGTTTATAATAGAACAGATGAAAAAGATCGTGTTGTATTACCATTTTTACAAAATCTTGTAACAAATGTTATGCCATATGTACGTACACATGTATCAGCAAATGCTCCATCATATCGTTCAGCATCAACTTTACTTATGAATATATCACAATATTCTTATACACGAAAAGCATGGAAAAAAGAAGCATTTGAACAATTATTTGATGTAGCATTTTTTCAACTTGATATTATTGCATTACGTTCATGGAAAATAATTGTTGATAATATGATAACGAATGAACGACCGACATCATTTCGTGATGTTATGACAAAAATTAATACTGTACAAACTGGTTTATTTGTATCAAAAGAACATGAATATGAACAACGTGCTATGCTTGTTAAACGTTTTGCTTTTGTTATATATGCATCAGAAAAAGATCAATATAATCGACAATTACCTGAAATACTTGAACGTATTGCTGATTTACTTAAATTACCACAAGTACCAATATTACATACACAAATGTTTCTATTTTTACGCGTTCTTTTATTGAGAATATCAACTAAAAATTTAATCTCATTATGGCCAATACTTATGACAGAACTTATACAAGTTTTATTACAACTTGAACAAGATCTTATATCTGATCTTGATGGTGAAGTCAAGTAAGATAAAATTTTTCATGAATTATTATAAAATGATACATTTAATAAACTTTCATTTTTTTTTTCTTAAATAGATCTCATGTACAGCGAATGGTAACCAATGACTTAGCTACAACAAATGTATCAAATACTTCAAATGCTTCTAATCCTGCACTAAAAATGTATTTATATGCGTGTAAATTACTGGATGTATTATTAGCCATGCCCTATTCAGAATTATATCATTTTCAACTGTAAGTTAATTTTGAAATTTTTATCAGTTCATTTTTCTTTTGTGGAACTCACATATATTCTCCAAAAAAAAAAGTAGGTATAAATTTAAATATAAAAACTTTTTGTAATTCCCCTTCCCTAGACTCTAGTCACATTGCTTTTCTAAAGTTCTGTAGCAACGAAAAAAAAAGTGGTCAACGCCATTAAAAATAGGATTTCCACTGTTCTAGAAGATTCTAAAGTCTTCATCGAAATTTAAGTGACGACAATACCTTTGTAAATATTCTAAATAGTGAATTTTTTTTAATTTTCGTGCATTCAAGTATCAAGAACGATAGGTAGTGATGCATCGATTTGCTACAATTGTTATTCGATCAACATAAAAAGCGTGAACTAATCAATATTAGTATCTTATCGAGATAGATAATAGACTTTCTGTAGATATAATGAATATATACAAAATGCTTATTTTCTAGTTAAATCAATATTTAAAATAATAATCATGTTAAAAAAGAAATTACGAAAAAGAAAAACAACGAGCGAAAACCTATAAGAAAAACAAAATATAGAGCGTCAGTAAACAGAAAAACAAGTGTCTTCGAAACACAAAAATAAATAAGACAGATCATATCCCTGGCGATCTATTATCCTTGACAAACAAAAATAATCTGCTTAAGATGTTTCACTTAACATATCTTATGTTAGTATATTGTGGTTAATGAATATATGTAAATTCCACATTCGAGTCCCAAATGAATTTTTACTGACAAGCTTTTTGTTTTTATATTTAAATGTTTTATTTTGTTGTTGTCTAGCTTTCGTTCTGCATTTGTTACTGATGAATATATAAATGATAGAAAATCCCCTATTGATACATTTATTGCATTTTCAATACGTTTATCAAAATTACTTGAAAGAAAATTACAATTAATGTCAACATCGATACATGAACGTCTTCCAATAATAAAAAATATGAATCGTCCATTACTTCGTTTACGTACAATAACAAATATAATTGAATTATATCCATTTTTTAATTGTCTAACACAAATGCATACATATGATCATCATCATTATCAACATTCATTACCAACTCATACAAATATATCAAATAAACAAATATCATTACCTAAAAAGAAAGAATCATCTAAGAAGAAAAATAAATCTTTAATACATATATCATCATATAGAAAATCTGACTCAACAACAATGAATTCAATAAAAGAAGAAACAATGAGTGAAATTGAAACAAGTGTACTTGAAGATTTTGTTGAATCATGGATATAAATTCTTATTAGTTTATTTATTCTTATTTTATTTTGTTGACTTAAGCATAACAATTTGCTAATATATTTATATATACATATATATATATTTTATTTTCTTCTTCCCTTTCCGTTAAATGATTGAACAGTTTGATAGGTTTACATCTCTTCTGTTTTCTTTTTTCTTTTTGTTGTTGTTGTCAATTCTATAATGTTTAAAAAGATCTCTTTTTTTTTTCTTTTCTGTTATTATTCGAAAAAAAAAAAAAAAAAAAACTTTTATTGATGCTACATGCGCTTGTTTATTACAAATAAAAACAAAAAACAAACCCTTCTTATTTCAGATAATGGAACCAAAAAGAATTTTGTCAATATGTTTTGGTGTATTACTTCTTTGGATACTTGTAGTATTAAATCTTTTTCCGATTAATTTACCAACATTTTTATATCAAATAATTCTTATTATTCCATTTATTGCAATTATTTTATTTGGATTTTATTCATTATTTTATTTAACATATAAAGTTATTAATCTTAAAGATTGTCCTCAAGCACAAATTGAATTACAACGTGAAATTGAACGCATCAAACATGATTCTCGCTATCAATCATTATTTCGTGCAACAACAACAACAACAACAAGTATTCGTTAAGAAGAATTCGTACTAATATTTGAGACTTTTGCTTAACTGTTGGTTATGTCAGTCTTTTTTTTCTTTTCTTTTCAATAAAGAAAAACAACAATACATAATGATGAAGCATGTTTTTTAAATGACTGTTTTACTTATTTTGAATAGGTGAGTAAATCATGAGGACATGTACCTGATGTCGAAATAGCTTTAGTGAACAAAGGAAAAGAAATTGATGACACTTAGAAAATATTTTCATTTTTTTCAATTAAAACTCTAGACAGTAAGATAATTTTCTTATTATACATGAAACTATATAGCATCTAAAAAGAATAGATGACTTTTACATATTATCTATTTTCTGAGCATGTCTTTAGTCATTCATACCAAATTATAATGACAAAAGCAGAATATTTATTTATGTTTCCTTTCGCAGAAATTTCTTTTTTTTACTGTCATAAACTATTTGTCTTGATTAACGCTGGTAAAAATTTTTGTGTATTATGACTTTTTTTTTTCTTTTCCAGATAACAGAATATAAAAGAATTTTATATTTATTCTTGTATGTTACGCGCTCTTCGTGTCATTAAAATCAAAGTCCAATTTGTACCCGCGCCTACTTTCTCCATCATGCAATCAACATCTGGAAATACTCAAAGACCTTCATCATCAAGACCAGCATCTAGTACAACGAAATCTTATGCTCCACAAAATCTTCCTGTCTATGATTATGATCTTGTTGTAGTTGGTGGCGGCTCAGGAGGTAAGAAAATTTAAAAAAAAAAGAAGAATATTAAAATGAGATTTATAATATTTATTGTTTAATATTATATTTAGGTTTGGCAGCAGCAAAAGAAGCAGCAAAATTAAATAAAAATGCTAAAGTAAATCTTTTTGGATTAATTCTAAAATGATTGATGTTTTTCTAATTAATTTTATTTTGATTTCAAGGTAGCCTGCTTTGACTTCGTTACTCCAACATATCATGGAACAAAATGGGGTCTCGGCGGTAAATAATAATTTCTAATAGTTCTCAGTATTTTTTGAATTCCATGCTTTTTGTTTAGGTACATGTGTTAATGTTGGTGTAAGTATAAAATTAGTTTTATTTATTAATTAAATTTCGAGACGTGAATCAAAAGGATCGTAACATCAGATATATATCTCATGACAAACAAATTCTATAGTATTGAATTTTTCTTAAAAGATGTGCTGGGAAATTCTCTATAAGAACATCGATGAAAAATTCCATGAACTTGTTTTAAATATTTTCTTATAAGACTAAAATTGATGCATTGTGTGATTCAAAAATGGACTCGGTTTGGTTAGCAATATCCTAAATCAATTTTGGTTTCGGTTCAGTATAAATTTTGAAATAACAGAACCGAACCTATCTCTGGTATGCCGATCAAATATCTCATTCTTTTTGAGAGAAATAAAAGTGAAGATAACGATGATTATTTTCGATATATCTCACCAATAACAAATCAAAAAAGTCTTAACTTATTTTTTTTTATGCGTCACGGAGTTTTCTAATACTTATGCATAAAAAAGTCCTTTGAGTTATACTGATGAGTTTTTTTAATGACACAAAAGATAAAGATCTTCGTCACGTTAGTTTTGTTCATTATAATAATGAAAAAGCAGCTTGAAAATTTTTAAGTACCATGCCTAAAGATCGATACTCTTATAATTTTATAATGCTTAAATCCATTAGATTACTCTATTATGGCTCATGTTAACAAGAACCTTGATTATAAGAAAATCAAAATAAGAGATGATTTGAAGAAACAGGTTAATGAAGCACATCAAAAGAATTCTTTTATGATTATATGATTTCATTTGAGCTTTTATAATAAAGTATATTATGCAAAAATTTGTTTGAAATAAAGAGAAGACTTACTTTTCGGTGTTATTTTTGTTTTTGTTTCTCTCAAAATAATGAAATATTTAACCAATATATAATGCTTCAATTTTTGGCTTTAATAAGAAAATATTATAAAAAAATAAATCTTTAAAAAAAAAGACAAAATTCAATGTTATAAAATTTATCTATATTGAGATTTACCCAATTTTGCAAATATTTTGCCTCATCCAGTTTAATAAATTTTTTTCTTAAAGTGCATTCCCAAAAAATTAATGCATTATGCTGGTATACTTGGTAATATGCTTCATCGTGATGCAGCTGAATTTGGTTGGAAAAATGTTGATAATCGTCAACATGATTGGACAACAATGCAAACAATGATTGGAAATTACATAAAATCTCTTAATTTTTCATATAAAGTTCAACTTCGTTCAGCTAATGTTACATATTTAGAAGGTTTAGCACAATTTATTGATGCACATACTATTGAATGGAAAGTAAATAATAATAATAATAATAATCATAAAAAGCTTCTAAATTGATCTTTCTTTTGCTTGGTTAGAGTTTAACAAAGAGTGGTCGTTTAACATTTAATAAAGCAATTATTGCAACCGGTGGTCGTCCAACATACGGTGATTTCCCTGGACGAGAATTGTGTATCAGTTCTGATGATGTTTTTTGGTTAAAAAAAAGTCCCGGTAAAACTCTTATTATTGGTGCAGCTTATATTGCACTTGAATGCGCATCTTTTCTTCATCACCTTGGCAATGATGTTACTGTTATGATACGTTCAAGACCATTACGTACAATGGATCATCAATGTGGTGAAATGGTATGTGAATTAATGGAACGTGATGGAGTAAAATTTATAATGCCAGCTAATCCACGTTCATTTTCTGCTGTCGAAAAACCGAATAAATTAGAAAATGCTAAAGAATGTCGACCTGGTGTTTGGGAACATGGAAAAGATGCTAAAGGAAATGATCAATTTTTACATGAATCAGGAGCGATTGAAGTTCAACATGCTGATGGAAAAATAACATGGATTCATCCAAAAGGAGAAATTGAAGCTAAATATGAATATGCCGATCAACGAAAAGGAAAAATACACTCAGAATATTTTGATACAGGTACATTTATTATTTTGAAATCGATCAACTAACAGATGATCGGAAAGTTTTTACACAGAATATTTATTCATTTTTGAACCATTAGAAAATATTTTCGATTAGTCAAATGTTATGAGTTAGGATGCTTCTTTTTTTTTTGAATATAAACTTAGAAATTTTGTTCAAAAGTAATGAAATAATCCGACATGAACATAAAAAATAGGTTGGATGGACAATTTTTTGTACTTTCACTATTTTAAATCGAAACTAAAAGTGGTGATTTTCATTTATATATGACTTCATAGATCAGAAGCTACACTATAAAATGCACTATTTGAAACTTCATTGTTGTCTTTCGATCGAGTACTTCAATCTTTGTTTTTTTCTAAATACTCATTTTTGAAGATTTGACAACCGTTTACGTTAAAAGAAGTAAATGCTTATTGCTTCACTTGAGTAACAGCTACAGCTTAGTTAAAAATATTATTTTGTAGAGTAGCGTCTGCTCTACAAAATGGTCGGCTCTGAGCATTTGCTAGAATGTTCGAGTAAGAACCTATAGGGTAAACAAAAAATATGTTGGCTCACCATTAAAAATAATTTTTCAAGGCTTAGAAAAACTTTTCTCACTACTCTGGAACAAAACTAACCATAAAATTTGTAAGCTCGAAACATTAATAATGACTTATAGATTTTGGCTCGTCGAAAATACTTTTTCATGGTTCAAAAGTGAATCAACATCATGTTGAAAAACTTTTCGATCACTCCTGAATACACTATGTTTCTATTGTTTTAGTTTTATTGGCTATTGGTAGAACAGCTAATATTGCTGGTCTTGATCTTGAAAAAATTGGTGTACATGTTGTGAATGGAAAAGTTCTTGTTGATGAACGAGAACAAACTAGTTTACCGCATATCTATGCATTGGGTGATGTAGCAACTGGTAAAGAAAAAAAACTAAAGAATTCAGTTTTTTAAAATGCCTTTTCTTGCTGTTCTAATGGAATCCTAATAGAATCTGACCGTAATAATGAAATGTCAGTTTTCGATTAATAATAACAATTCTAATTAATTCTACTTTTCATGCCAAAAAGAAAGCTGAATTAATTCCTTTCTTTCAATAGAATTTTAATAACTAGGATATTTATATAAAGAAAAAGAAAGTTTATAAAGATTTTCTTTCAAACAAAAAGAACATTTGACTACACATAATAAAGCTTCCCTGCATAAGAATCACAATACTGTTCGAGTATATTTATAAAAGAAGCTAGTCGAAATCTTTTAATCTTGAGAATTAATCTTGTCTATAAGGATTACTATCTATTGTTCATAACGAATGATTTTATAAGACTTTTTTCGTTTGGTCTTGTACGGTAATTAAAAATTTCTTAGGTGTTATTCAACATGGTAAAGATTTGTCACATCAAGCGCAAGTTACTGTTGAGCGACCTGAATTAACACCTGTTGCTATTCAAGCTGGTCAATATTTAGCACGACGTATATGTAATGTATCGGATAAATTAATGAATTATCGGAATATACCATCAACAGTATTTACAAGTCCATCTGAATACAGTTTTGTTGGTCTTCATGAAGAACAAGCAATGCGATCACGTGAAGGTTGCTATATCATAACAAAAAAAAAAGAAACTTCATTTCTTTATCTTAAAAACTTCTTTTTTTTCTGTTTAGATGGAGGTATTGGTGCAGAAAATGTACGTATTTATTGGTCACGGTTTGGTAATTTAGAAATATCTCCAATACATGCACATTTAAAAATGCCACGTAGCGAATGTTTCGTAGGAAAAAACTCTTGGGCACAACAATATGCATTAAAAAATAATGTTGATTGGCCTGAAGTAGCATATGATTTAGAAAATACAAATTATGTTTTATTTAATGATGGTATTGGTGGTCAAAAAAGTACAATTGCACGTATAATAAAAAAATATCGTAATGAACAAGCAAATAATAAAATAACATATGATATTGAAATTCAAAATGAAGAAAAAACAATTATACAAGGTGTTACTGGTGAAAAATTACAATTACAAGAAGAACAAGAATTAGAAAAAGCTGAAGTGTTTTATAAAGCAAATTGTTTAGCTAAACTAATCTGTGATAAAAGTCAAAATGATCGCGTAGTTGGCCTTCATTTTATGGGACCAAATGCTGGTGAAGTTGTACAAGGTTTTGCATTAGCTATTATGATGGGCGCAACAAAACAACAATTTGATGAGCTTGTTGGTATTCATCCAACAGCTGCTGAAGAATTTACTGTATTAACTGTAACCAAAGAATCTGAAGCAACATTATTGAAAGCGGCTGGTTGTGGTGGAGGTTCATGTGGTTAATCAATTATTTTTTTACGCATCTATAACAATTATAAACTGAATATAATGTATCGCTTTCTCGTTAATCAAGGATTAATATTACATCTGTAGTTAAACAAAACAAAAAATCAAATATATGTATATCAAGAAATAGAAAGATTAACCTAAAATGAATAGATGTGCTTGTTGTTTTTTTATTTCATAAGAAGTTATATTTAGACAACACAAAAAAGAAATGAAAGGATGAGGATTGTTTTGATAAGAAGATTAATAATAGAATTACTACGTGGGTGATAATGATACTTATTTAATATCATACTTTTTCGCAGATAATTATTGAGTCACGAACTACAATAAATTGATTCTAATTTTTATCGATGAAAAAGGTTTTTTCTTATTCGTCATTTATCTCAATAACTTAATGAACGTCAAAACCTAAATGAATGTTGAAAGCTTTTTCTTTTTCATTGATTGTTCGCTTCATGATAAAGTGATGCAGTTCTTCTATATAATGGCATAAGTTAACAAGTGTTTCTCAACAAGTTACAATATTTTCTTCAATTTTCGCATGCTCTTTGCATTTTATAATAGTGATGAAAAAAGTGTCGATATATACGGTGTTTCATAAATTCTGAAGTTCGATAGCAATTAATTTATATGCGGACAAGAAACGTCCTCTAATTGAATGTATCCATATAGCGTTTGAATACTCCTTTTGACGTTTCAAATGACATAATATTGAATAACATCTTCTATAGTAAAAATTTTAGAGTACAGATATAGGAATATAGAGTTCAATTTATCGAAACTGACCAATAAGATGTTTTTAATTAAAAGTAATGAACTCATTTGTGATAAAACGTAGTGTAGGAACCAATAAGTAGCTGTCGTGAATATTTATTTGAGGCTTGCCATTTATTACGGATCAAATACTCAGTCAGACCTTATCCTGAACAAATAGTGCAAAATAAACTGAAGTACTTGAACACACATACTGTAGAGAATGAAAATTTTCTATTTTGATAATTGTTCACATTTTTTCTTTATTTGAAATTTGCTTATTTCCTATATATAAATTGTCTAATCGTTGAAGCAATGGTTTACGCATAAACAACTAATGAATTTAAACTATAAAAATCATTGAAGAAAAAATATACCGGCAAGACAATTTTCAAGTTTTCTACATTTGAAAACTAGATCGAACAAAGAATGGAGAAAAATAACGTTTGCAATGAACGTGAAAGAATGATTGAGAAGATTTTTGAAGTACTTGATGAAGTAATAATATGTAGTAGATGATGAATACATGATGATTAACTGGCATTTTTTATGTCTTTAACTTAATACTGGAATGAATCAATTGTAGTGTTTATCTTTTTCTTCATAAAAAAACGTCTTGTTGATCGATTTTCAAAATTTGACAAGTTGTAGTCTTCGATTTATATTATTATTCATATAAGAGAAGATGTCAGCTAATACTATATCGTTTGAATCGTTGACACCAACACCCAAACTTCATATAGATATATTGAATGAACGATTATTCCATGTCTGCATATAAATTAATTTCTATTGAGGATCAAAACTTGTGAAACACTCTATATTTACAATGTCATTGGAAAAATACGGCGTTTATGTGGTTTGTGTATGTGTCTGTTTTTTCATGCGAATGATTTCATCAACAGGCAAGTGATGCATATTCCAATCATATAGTTTCTATAAGATATAATATTCGAGTACCATTTTATTTTGGTATATTATGTGGGGAAATGCACGAAATCAATGTAATTCAGTTGATTGATTCTTAAAAGAAATCAAATTAGCAAGAAAAACGATACGTCTCTCAAGGTCAAAAATTGATTTTACATTTTATCTTTAAGAGTTCATTCTATCTTTCTATTCTCTCGAGCCCTAGATCACTATTATAATTCCTCACAGAATTGCTATTCAAAGAAAGGTCATAACATTAAACGATCAGATCAAACGCAAATAGAGTCACTCACTCAATTAACTAGTAGATTTTTTTCACTATTCAAAAAAATATATTTCGTTATTTATTAATTAATATGTGCATACAAATTAGGAATGTGTGTAGTCTTCAAACATTATTTTTATTTATTGTTCTAAACGTTTGCAACATGACCACCATTTACCACAGCACCGCCAGCAGGATTAACAATAACTCCACCATTTGTATATTCTGTTGTTCTACTTAATCGTCTCATAATAAGACGTATAAGTGACACATTTTGTTGTTGCATATTATCATATAATGACTGCCGTCGATAATGATAATTTTGATATCTTTCATGTGGTAATAACCATAATAAAATTAAGCCCTTCAATTCATCTCGAAATAATTTCGATGAGCATGAATAAAGAAAAAAATTTGCCATATAATTAATATTTCTTATTGTAAAAGTTATAGTACGCCATGTTAATTTATTTTTTAACCATGAACAATTACCGGTTTGATCCAGAACTTCATAATATATCCACCAACATTGAAATGGTAATGTACAAAATAAATGAACAAGACAAACAAGTATTAATGTTACTGTTATTGATGATCTTAACTCAACAATACCACGTTGACATAAACGATAAATAATAGTTGAATTTAATAATAATACAAATATAAATGGAACAAAATAATTTATTATAACTGATACCATTCCCATTGAATCGTATAAAATATCATCATAAACATCACATTTTAAATAATTTGTTTTTGTATGATTATCTGAAGTAACTTGCCATGGTAGCAAAAAAATAAAATTTTCTGAAATATTTCTAAAGAAAAATTAAATTAAAATACTAATAAAAAATATTACAAAGCTAATGTATATATATATGCAGACTTAGAAGAGTTTCTTAAGAATGATGGAGATGTCGATGTTACAATTACAGCTCGAGTTTTTACAACCATTTTAACAACAAATATAAACCATGTTGATATTAGTGTTGCCGTAAAAAGAATGCCGAGAACACAAAAAAATATTTTTCGATGAGTAAACAAAATTTTATGTCGATGAGGTAACCAAACAGCACAAAAACGTTCAAATGCAATACATATCATTAACCAACTTGAACAACATGTAAAAGTTAAATCGAAAAAACCTGTAAATGAAAAAGTAAAAAAAAACATCTTACTATAAAATTATTGTAGATAAAAAGTAAACAAACGAAATAAATTACCATGTGTACGACACCAAAACGGTGAAGCATCAGTAAATTCTCGTTTTAGTACATTTTCAAGCCATAAAATTGAAACAGGTATAAGAAGTACTAATGAATCAACAATAGCTAAAGTAATAGTTAATATTGATACTGATTGTCTTTTAAGATCGGTTATAATAAATACACATATTGTAAGAATGTTTCCAAGTAAGCCAACACAAAATATAATTGGTGTTAAACGAATAAATAATTTTTGTGTTATCGTACCATCAAGTAATTCAAATTCATTTAATAAGCAGGAAGCTGTCATAATATTCTTTGTATTTCTATAAACATAAACTGTAGTTTAGATCGGTGACAAATCATAAAAGCCTCATTAGTCAGAGAAGAAGAAGAAGAGTAACATAGAATAACGCAAAATCTAACCCATTATGTGTCAACGAGAGAAAGAAATGTCAGTGAGTCGAGGAAACGTTTGCATACACACGATTTCCTGCTCTCTCTCTCTCTTTCTCCGTCGATTAATTCAAAAATAATGACCGCCATTCTTATATACAATCCAAAGATGAGCTCACCAGAAACATACGAACAACAATAATCTAGACAATAACTGCAGATTGAGAGAATATGTCTACTTTGATTTTCTTTTGACTGGCAGATGTGTTAATGGGAACAAGTAAAAAAAAAACACTAATGAAAAGAATGATAAAATAGGAAAAAAAGGGGACACTTCCTATAATAATGAAACATAAAATTGAATTTAAATTATACCAAAAAAGATGAAAGAAAATAAGTTTTTTTTTATTATTATTTCGCATATATACTTCCAGAAAAGTAGATGACATTAATGGAAACAATTCTCTGTTTTTACTGACCAGAAATGGTTGTTTGAGAAGTTTTTATTATTATTTTCATTTTCGTCTTCATAGTCAAAAAAAAGAAAAATATATAATAACAAAAAACATGTTAGACTTGTTTTGATTACGTCTATTTACTGTAAGAGAACTAGATGGATATGAATATGTATATATATATATATTCATTCATATTAGTTTAGGACAAGAGAAGTCACTGTCAATTCAAGTGTGTTCTGCAACACAGATGTATCAAGTATCGAGACAAGACGAAAGAGAACTGATGACAGATCATGGCGGTCGTCTATGATAGGAAAATAATACCAAATGCAGAGATAATCGACCTAATAACGCTGAACTTTATTCAACGTCAGCAGATAGTGTCTAGCCATAATGATATGCTCAAATTGTTGTTATTCTTCTTTTCTGATTATTAATGGGCACATAAAATAGTAAAATACAACAAGATATACTTCTCTTCTATCATAATGCTGTTGTCATTATCATCAACAGTAGTTCTAATGGGAAATGTTCTTGTTCTCTCTGTTTTTCCTGATTGAATTTTCTTTTTTGTCTCTCTTCGTTCTACAGCATACTCTCTTTTTTTTCCAACGATGTTTTTTTTTGTCCTCTGTCGTAGAATATAAACAAGAAAAAAAAGAAGAAGAAAAAAAAATTTAGATTTTTCGGAGGATGGATACAAACCTGACGTAAGTTTCACATAAAAGAATACTTACGATAGACGAAGTGGATAGATAATCACTAATAATTAATACTTTTAAACTCAGTCGACATTTACGATCTTATATTGTTTTTCTTATGTGCATACATGTGTGATAATCGATCTAATTACAATTGATTCTAGAAAAGCAACTGACAATATGTACTTAGCTTCCTGCTGTTTTTTTTAGCAAAGCTGTCACGTATAAATCACAAATAAACAAGAAAAAAAAATAGAAATGGAGTAACTGACCCTATTCATGCAAGTTTTTTTATTAGGGATCTTAATGCATAGAAGAAAACAAAAATAAATACACTATATATATATATATATATATATATATAAATAACTTTCGATTATAATAACACGCAAATGCTATTTTTATCATGTTTTATCAATATTTTCTGTTGAGTACAGATTTTCTATACTAATAGCATTGTTCATCTTTGAATATCCATTAATTTCAAGTCTAAACATGTTACAGTCTACTTTAATCAGATCAATTATACCAAAGGGAACACGACGAAGGATAATCATGATACTTTTCCTTTCTTTTTTTTTTTGTTCCAGAAGACAAAACAATGTCTTTTTTACAATAATAAGAACAATACGCACTATCGTAGATTGATGACATTCGCTCTCTTGAGAAAATCACATGTATATGCTTTAGTCTTATAAGCATTTGTTTTCTTCTTTCCGAAAAAAGTTTATATGAGCGAAAGAACGCTTCTGAAAAAAAAAATTTTTTCATCAGGTATTGTATTTTTTTTTCATTTGATATATCAAGTATATCCATTAGACATATCTTGCTTAATGAGAAACTAGATCTTATGAGTGACTTTTATGGCATACAACGAGTAAATAATATGTAGGTAGCATCCATGGAATAGATGTTGAACCGCAAGGTAATGACCATGACATAAGCATTAGCAAATAACCTAAATAAGACAAAAAAAGAACAATTCAATCTTGTCATATTTATAAACCATACCAAGATAATATGGATGTCGATATAGAAAAAAATGATTAGATGTTAATAAAATAGATTCATCATTGAATATCATTGATTTACCATTCTTTTTACATAATTTTTTTAATGTTTTTTGTTGTTTATGACTTGCTCGATACATAAACATGCCAATAATAAAAACTATCATCGAACCAATGATGTATAAATTTTTAATTGGATAATTAACAAGTGTCAAATATTGACAAGGTAAACACCTTATTCGAAGAGAAAAAAAAGAAACCAAATTTTTGAAATTTGAAGAATATATGAAATATACCAGAGAAAAGGAAACCAACAAAGAGAACCAAAAATATGTAGAAATCCAATTGTTTCTTTTTTTCTATTATCATTTATACAATGATCTTCTTCATACCAAATTAATTGTAAAGCATGTAGAATTTGTTGAATAATAATTAAAACACAAGCAGATAATCGACGATATGTATATAATTCCATTGTTTTAAGAAAAAAACAAAGATTTAAAACAGCCCAGCCAATTAAACCTACACGCAATTCAAGGAATAATTTTAGATTAATACCAGCAATCGTTAGATTAATATCAGTGCCATAGAAAAAAGCTATTATCGGATTAATTTGTTTTAAATGACGATTTCCAGTGCCTTTCATATATAATAAAAGACTAATTAAACCAGAGACAATTATTGAAGCTAGAAGAATCTTATTGATGTTATCATAGACATAAGATGCACGAATAACATTCAACCAATTTAATAAATAAATTCCACTGAGAGAAAAAACAAAAGCTACTATGCCATTATGACGATAAGAAGATATCATATCTGATTGTCCATGAAATTTATTTCTAATCGGTATCAAGAAAATCAACTGAAACAAAAGGATATTATTTTAATTCATGAATAAAAAAAAAACAACTAACTTGAATGAGTAACCATCCAAGTACAATCGCCAAACAATCTAAATCAAATACTATCATACCATAAATATATCGAAGAGATTCAATAACAGTACGTCTTGGTGTACAAGAAATATTAAAGAAAAATAATAAAAGAGGAAGTAATATTGTAAGACTAAGTGCTAATGAAGCAGAACGTCGACGTAAATTTTTATAGACTTGATGATTGGTAATGTATTCCTCTGAATCATCAACAATTTCTTCATTTATGATATTCATGTCGCATTTGGACATTTTGTTTAAATATAATATGCGCCACAAAGTTATTTTGAGAAAAAGATTTTTCCTACTATAATATCAATACAATATTTTGGCGCTATATTATTTTCTTTGCTTGAAATCTTTTTTCTTTCAAAGATATCATTAGCTTAATTTTTTTAAAGTTGATTAATCAATTAATCAATATCATTTCAATTTTTTTGTTCTACGTCAAAAATGCTAGAAAGATTTTAAATAGTAATCGAGTAGAGACAACTGTTTTCAAAAGTAAGATAAAATAAAAAATAAAAACTAGTGTAAGATTTTCAAAAACAATGACTCCAAAAAACCCAAAATTCTAGTTTTTCAGCAACTCGAATACGTTAATATAATTTTGCCTAGACTTTATAGAACAAACAATAGAGTAAACTATTCTCTACCAATTGATGCGTCTCCGAATTTTCTGTGATGTTTTTTCGCTGAGATACAGTAATTTTATTAAAGGTCAAAAAATAATTCTTCTATAGAGAAATAGTAAACAGACGACTTTCACAACTTCTGTAAAATTACTCTATATCAGCCAAAAAATGTTGCAGACAACACGAAGACGTTTCATTCTGTAAAGGATTGTTTTCTCTATTGTCCTATATAATCTAAAGAAAATCATACTTATATGTTCTAGATGCTGGAAAGCTAGAGAATTGTTTTTCAAAAATCTCTATCGTTGAGGCTTTGAAAATAATTTTTTATTTTCTTAGATTTCTGTTGTATATTATCTCCTCTATTTGAATCACTATTTCGGTTTTTTCTAACACTTACAACAATAAAAAAAATTGAAAATAAATATTGTTGAATTAGTTTGGGCCTCACTTTATATATATGATAAAGCGACTGGACTCTTCTAATGTTGATACGAAAGTTTTTGCGATATAGCATCTACTATATGGATTTCAAGGTAAAACTATTATCAAATGTTATTAGATGATGATTATGTGGAATGATGTTTGTCCTACTGAGATTGTGCACAATTCAATGCTACCTTAATAGATACATCAACATGAACATGATGTGATAGTTGACGTTTGATGTTAAAAGCTTTTTCGTAGTCTTGTATATGATTGCAAAATTTACATAGTGTGCCCAAAAAAAATTCACAACACAAAAAGTATGGTAATTCAGTTGTAAAAACTTTCGAAATAATATGATCAATAATTCAATCTTCTTGAGTAAAGTTACAGCTCAATTTATATAAGAACATGCTCTGCTTAACCGAGTAATAGACATCTTACATTTTGTTCAGTCGCTGTGTCAAATGCTAAAAACCCATCAATGTTTTATAAGAAATTTGTTCAAAGCAAAACCTTCATTATTTATCACATACATAAAATTTCGTTGTTACTGAAAAATAAAGATTTAAAAAGTTCTGTCATTTGTTGTAGTACTTTGAATTTTATATAGAGAGAATATATATTAGTAAAGAGCAATGAATCACTGATTTCACTTCAATTTAATTCTACTAAAAGAAAAAAGAAAATTTGAATGGTACTGTAAAAAATGTTTCAACAAAATCGATAGAAAGAAACAATTTTCAACTTACAAAGATAATAGTATCAGAGTGAGGATTAACTACATATTGTTAGATGTAAACATAAATCGTATGTTTAATTTGCATGTTCAAAAAGATCATAAATATTAACAATCAACGTTTGTTGTTGATAAAATCTTAATTACGGAATATTTTATGCTTCCTCTCGTTTCAATAAATTTTAAATATTAATTTTTCTTTAACTAGATCATTGTCATATAATTCGATTATAATTTGAGCTTCGCATCCACTATTTACTAAAATAACTGATATTCTTTTTTGTCAATATGCTATTTCTCAGATATATACATAAGAATACTAATTCAATTTCAATTGTTCAATAAATGCTGAAAAAAAAATAGTTGAGAAGTATCTATTGTGAGAGATGGTTATCAATCACAATCATATTCAATGAAATAATTAAATTAAAACATTTATTAATTATTCGTATGGGATAGCAAACAATTGGTGCAATAATCTTTAATTTTTTTCCAAAAAAAAAAAGAACAGTTAAAAGTAGATGACATTTTGAGTATTCACGATACCAGATAATACTAACAATGAGAACCAGATTGATACTTGTGATGATGATCACATAGACAATTTCAAGATCATTTATTATACTTAATCGAATCATTAGCAAAGTCTAAAGAATGAATAGATAAAAGGAAGTGATATTTGCTGTAGAACATAAGGTATTAATAGTAACATTTGCATAAATAATGATTTATATTGTTACAACGAAATAATCTTGAAGTTTAATTATAACCGTTGGACGATTCTTTTCAACTCTCAAAAATAATTAGACATTATTGTTAGATTTATATTGAATGATGAAAATTTATGAACTATATAGTCACTTCGATTAAAACTTCGCAAGTCTTTACGCAATACTGACATTTGATCAATATGACATATTTTTTGATACTTGGTTTTTATCAAGATTCGATAATCTTTAAATACTCATTGTTTAATGCAACGATCAGATTTTTTTCAATCACATTGACTTCGAATTTCATCTTATTATTAATGTGTGGTTGTAACGATTAAAACTATAGTGAATATGTTTGTTAACCTAATATAGTATCAATATATTTACGTTAGAATTGCACAAGTCCAATTGAAAGATCTTCATCTATTCAACGCCGATTGGACTCGTTTTCTATCTCCGAGAGAACCTTAATGAGGTTAGGAAAAGGCGAAATGGATCGATGCTTTTACACATCTTTATTGAAGTTTATGTTCGTTTTACAGAATGTTCAGCATCTAAGCAAGGCGTTGATAAATTTGAAATTTTGTCTATGGGAAGATCTAATCACCCTTAGAAGCTTATGAAAATTTCAACCGAAACGTATGATTTTTATCCACGATATTAAATCTCTAGGAAAAGCTGCTTTTCTTATCGAATATGAATGCTATTTGAAAACTGTATATATGGGGGGAGAAGTGTTCGTTTTGGCTGAAATTTCCAGAATTTTCGAAAAGTCATTAGATTTTTACATTGACGAAATTTCAAATTTGTCAGTTCCTTGTTCAGTTGCTCAGAATTTAGTAAAACGAACATTACTTCAACAAAGGACAAGAGTGCTTTTCCATTTAAGCTTTTTCTAATCTCTTTGATAAATTCATTTGAGTAGAAAATCAGTTCAATAGATGTTGAATAGATATGGAAGTTCCGGTAATCTAGTGCAAAATTAACATGTCGTGTTACTTAGAGATGATAGGTCTATAGCAAAAGTGATATTAAAAAAAACAACAAAAAAAGATAATACAAGAAAAATAATTAAATGGAAGATTTCGAGGGAACTTCCGCTAAATCTACATCATTTTGTCAAGCTGTCATGCTGAAGTGTCAGTATTTAAGAATATACGTCGTTGTAAGAAACATCTAATGAAAAAAATCTTAATTTTTTTAACAGACAAAGCAAATACATTTTATCAGAATATTAATTCCATCAATGTCTATTACGAAATCTTTTTAGCAATGTTGACTTTTATCTGAAAAGGCTTCAAAGATCATTAGAAAAATAATCTCTGCTTCAATCTGATGAAAGTTCTGTTTATTTAACAACAATGTTTGTAATTTAATCTATGGAAAAAAACAAAAATTAGACAGAAAGAAGACATTAGTGACGTAACCAGATGGAGCTAGTGTGGGCTTTGCTTTCCTCTACTAGAAGACTTTGAGCCTTCCCTATTTACAGCTGAGTTATGTTGGAAACGGTTTTTATTTTCTTCTACAGACATTATCAGGAGGCTTAGTTATTTCTTTCCACGTACAACTTTTTTTTATGGCTACGCTAATAAAACCAAAACACCTTGCATTTTTGGTCATAGATTTTGTTTCAGACTGTATTCTTGTAATCATAATTCTGTTTGTCTATCACCAACAAAAGAAGCTGTGTAAAAAGATGATTTCAGACAGCAATAAAAAAACAAAAACTTAGTTTTTTCAATACATATTTAAAAAAAATTATATTTTATCGATTACCAGTGATATTTTCGTTCAAGTGTGTGAAATATAGTGCATCAAAAAAGAACTGTCAACAACTATTATCATTTAATACCAATTAATAATCGAGAAATTTCTCGATCTATTATAATGAACAATATCAATTAAAAGAAAATGAATGGCTTTTATTGTAACATTAATTATGTAGTGATTTATAAATCATCAAATGTTGATTACAATTGACAAAAAAAAACTGAAAAAACATTGGTTTTTGATTAGCTTTGGCTGACATAGAAAACGATATTGTTTGAGCAATATCGACTGATTGTAATCTTTCATTAATGATTATTCAAACTTTACATTTAGGCAAACAATTCCATGATATAAATACACTCAAAATTATACGTTATTCCATCGACTCTACTTTATATTCTATTTTCTCTTGAATCAAGAATATTTCACAGTAGTGATGCAGTTAGGACACTCAGTAGAAAGAGTTCGTTGTTGATCATGATGCATAAAGATAGGTCATCATTAAAAAGTCATCTTAATATTTGTAGAATTTGTTTTCTAGAATATTTACAACTTGACATAAGAGATTTTATAGAAAAAAAAAAGATTCTGTTCTATAAAGCTTGGTCGAGAAACAATCTGTTGATACTATATAGGTCATTTCTTTGTCATTTAAAAAACGTTCAAGTGAAGGATCTCTTATAGGCTACTTATCTCTTGTACGAGTTGATGAGTAAAATTCTTTCTTTTAGTTTTCAACATGCTATACTTAAAAAAAAAATAAATTACGCACTAACATGTCATGACTAGAAAACCATTTTAGATAAGTTCTTTTAAGTGAAGCTTTCAAAAACTTAAAACTTTAATTAATTCAGTTTAATTTTATTAAAAATTTCCATAAATCAATTGTGAAAATAAATGTCAAAATTCATTGAAGGATCTTATTTTCTAATGAAAGAAAAAACGATATTGTCTAGGAATATATTCGGACACTAAATTCAGTTGTTCTTCTATTTTTTGATGATACTACAAAATGTCAACAGCAATTATGAATACTGTCATCCATAAATTATCAACGAGAAAAATCCAATCCATCAAAACGTCGATTTTCTGATTAAATTACGTAATGTATTTATTATGATAGAGACATTATGCAGTCATTTCAAATAGTACTATACCAATAACGCGTAGTTGGAAGACAATGAGCAATATACCGTTTTTTTATTAAAAATTAACTTAAACCAAACGTACATGTTACTGTTAAGTTTTTTTTTTTCTTCGAGATAAACAAAATCAATTTCGATTTATAATAATATATAGTATTCTGTATCATTTACAAAAGAAGAGTTGCAATAATTCAAGTAAGCATATATGAAAAGAAAGATCCATCAAGTTATTAAATTTCTCTGTCTATAATCTTGACATCCTAAGATTGATTCATTTAACTTTATTTACCAATAGTTGGATCGATTACTTTTTGTTTTTAACTTGCCTATATAAACGGTATAGCTTGTATCCTGCCATGATTAGTATTTGTTTTTTTTTGTCTCAGAAGTAAGTCACAATATCCAATCACTTTACTTCTCACGCAACTCCGGTGTCACAATGGAAATATAGAATGAAATGAAAAATGAAAAAAACATGCAAAAGAGTAGAAGGGCGACTAAATAAAAAGTCGAAATTAATTCTATTGGAAGGCTTATTTTGACTATTTGCATGGTAAACTTCAGTACGAAATATGATTATTACTAATCCAGGTATTATATCCAAAGATACTGGATTAAAAATGAAATTCAGTTGGGAATAGCAACTTTTTATGAATTGCACGTGTCAACAATAGAAAAAAGAAACAAAAAGATACTGCTGTATATATAATTTGATGGGAATTAGTAACTAGCTCATCAGAGTCATAAATGAGATCATTTTTTGACAGGCGCTTTTTAGACTCATGTATTTTATAATTATTTTTACTTCTGCAAATACCAATAACACAAAGAAGGATGGTCATCTTTCAATAATAAATAATGTTCGGATATCTTGTTGTCTCATATTTAACAATTCGAAGATCAATGTGACAAACTTAAATCTTCGTGTAATGGAATCATTATTTCAATGTCAATCTATATACAAAAACAATAAACTTATTCCGTAAGTTATCAATTTCAGTTATCATGTCAAAAATGATCCTTTTTTTATGACTCTGATGAGTTGACTAAACTCGATCTAATTATATCTGGATCATATATTCACTTGTTTCCTCTTTCTACGGGTTTTAGTTGTAGATTATCAAGAAATGCCGTCAAGAACTCACTCGATTATTAACCGACTATTTTTAAGTTTGACAATGACGTTTCTAATTAGAAATATACTTTCTAATCTTTTTTAGTTTTTTTTCTTTCAAAGGTAATGACAAGCACGATTATATCACGTTTCTATACGTCATTCAGTTAATATCTTCATAGCACACGTATATTACAGTAATAGATAACTTTTTTTTGTTAATTGTTCGATTTAGTTGTTTTCTACATTCTTTCCTTTCATAAACAAACAAAACCTTTTGTTTTTCTTCGCAAAAATAATCTAAAATATAATTCCATCTGTTCTATGTCAAAAATAAATCCAAAAACGTCTGCCGACTATAGTATTGGATATTACTATCCTTGAGTTACATATAACTTGCACGTAGAATCATTTTAAGTATTTTCTTGCATGCTTTTCATCGATCTAGGTAAAACAGAGTAGCTAAATATAGTTCTATACTATCTATTTCTTGAGCATATGTTAAAATAAAATGATTATAACGATATAATTAGATGTTATGTTATAATTGCTGACAAATAAAATGATACAATAAACAACAAAATATAATTTTGAATAGATCATAGAATTGATAATAATTATGAAAAATATTTGTTTTCATTCACATATGGATATTGTTAATTTTTTATGCAAATTATTCCATATCTTAACTTGTGATCTCAATCATTTTATTCTTATGATTGACATACTACAGAACTCTTCGAATAAGCAACATTTCATTCTAGATCTATTCCACACAATGGATACCAGCATTTAACCAAGAGACAACAAATTAAAACAAGAAAAATACACATACAAACACGCACAAATAAATATATATAGATATTTAGATATATATATATATATATTTCACTAGGACGATTATTATGATCGTAAACAGATGTTTTAAATGCTCACCGGCATAAGATCAACAAAATATTACTGTCTACAAATTGTTTAGCTTGCATTTATTTTAAGTGATTGACTTAGATTTCTATTAAGTTGAGTTTTATTGTCTGTTGATCCTATATCTATAGGTATATATCGATGCAGTCTTATAGAACTTTGTTGTCGTTGAGAAAAATTTGAATTTTTCATTCGATTTAAATCATAATAAATACTTGAAACATTATTCGCAGATGACTGACGTTGATATTCACTAAGTGTTATCATATCACCAGTACGACGTCGTTGTGTCTGATTAGCAAGATCATCTTTTGAACAACAACATGATCTATTCGTCCAAAAGAATAAATAACGTTTATAAAAATGACGGAATGTTGTTGAAAGAAAATAAAGTGCAAATGGATTAATACATGAATAGATATAAGAAAAAATAAGTGCTAATGTTTTATTAAATTGCCAGAAGTGATTCCAACGTGCCGAGTAGACAATTACACCAATAAACCTGAAATAAAAGTCATTAAATATTCTTTTGCATTATTTAACTCACCAATATAAGTCATGGATTTGCTTCGGTAACCAACATATAAAAAAGACAATACATAAAAAAAGAACAGTTTTAGCAACTTTATGTCGTGCTCGTAATTGTTTTCGTGTTTTAACGTCTCGATATAATGTATGAATAGCCATATTATTATTATTATTGTTATTATTATTTATATTTGAATTAGTATACAAAAGATCTCTACTACGTCGTATTTTATTTGTTAAAGACGACGATGGCAACGATACTGTTCTTAATGATGCTGGTGATGATTCATGCGTGCTCATTAATTCTTCATGGTCAAGTGTGACTGAATGTTTTGAAAGATTTCTTTTATAATTGTTATTAATTATTTCATTATGACGTTTTTGTTCTTGAGCTGTATTATTATGTATATGTGCATTTTTAGACATTAGTTTTGTTGATTTAATATTTATTTGTCCTCTTTTTGTATTAGGTACTTCATTTATGAATGGTTGTGTTGACATTGGTATTAAAATAGTACTCTTGGCTTGAAATAAATGTTTTGCAATAAGTATATAAAATATGGAAACAAATATAAGTGGCATTATATAATAAATAATAAGACGTGTGATTTGTCGACTGATCATAAATGTATGATTAGAAAGTAAATTACTTTCATTTGGACTCCAACAATAAATTAATTTAATTGTTTTGTTATTTGTTTGATTGTATGTTTCCGTAATTAGACCTATAAGAAAAGATGCAATTAAAACATGCTTATTTTTTGGACACTTCTTGCAATTAAATCAAGTGTATTACTTAACCCCATCTTAGACAAATGAATATTTTTTCAAGAGTTTGATAAAAATCTCTTTGATATGTTCTTTCTAGTTGAATGATCTCTCTTTTTATGTATTGTAACTCACCACTATAAATTGTTTCTGGTAGTGCAAGAAGTATAGATAAAAGCCAAATAGATATAACTACTGTTTTTAGTTTAATCGATGGATCATTAGCATGACTTGAAAATGGTTTAACAATTATTTTATAACGATCAGCACTCAATGCTAATAAAGAAAAAACAGAAACACCAAGTGAAAGATTAATAATAAAATTTTCAAAACGACAATAAAATGTTGAAAATGGATAATATTCTAATGAATAAGCAACAGCTCCAAACGGTACACAAAATAAAACAAATAGAAAATCTCCCAATGCCAAACTAACAACCAGTAAATTTGGTACTGTTCGTAAATTTTTTTGGCGAAATACAATAACTAAATTGATGCAAAAATTAAAAAAAAGAAATTCTTTTATTTAAACAACACTTAGTATACTTACATATTAAAAGTCCATTACCGATAAGACCAACAATATAGACAAAAAGAAAAAGTATTAATGTTATCACACGATATAAACTAGTCATGTTTGATAAAAATCCAATTAAATCACCAAATAATAAAAAATATTATTCTGAAAATAAATATTCTCTAATAAAGTTAAAAATACTTTCTTGTTTTGTACTATCAAAATCATATAAATAAAAGCTCTCTAATCTATTTAGATTGATGGTCGATAGACAAGCATACTAACTACAAATCAAGATTCCAAGTCTGCTGTTTTTGTTGTTTTCTTTTTTTTTTCTTTTCTAGTATAAGTGTATCATTTATATGAAAAAAGTTCTTTGCTATGCTGTTTCCTCCTCTCAGTTTCTCTCGCTCTCTGTCTGCCTATGTCTCTCTTTCTTTCATTCTTGTTTTTTTTCTCTTACATTTTTGCTACGCTTCAAAATTATTAATATCAAATAATTCATCTTCGTTTTAATGCAACAAAAAAATATATAAATATTTGAAGCATAATTAACGAAAAGTGCCATCTTATATTTATTATGTATAGAAATACACAAAATATTGAAATCTGGAAAAATTCGACATGTTATATACATAGAGATAATAAAGGAAATTACTATACTAATTCTTCATCTGTCAAATACTTTGCAGATGATCATACTTTTTAAAGTTGCTTCTTCAACATCTTCAAAACACACATTCAAAAACACAGCATTGCTAATAATAAGGTTGAATAGACATATAGAACGCAATATTTTCATTGAACATAACAAAAAATAAGGGGCCTAACACTTTTTCCTTACATAATAAAACTCATTAAATAGGTCATAAAATTTTTATTTAAAAAAAAGAAGATATTTAAATGTCGTAAAAGAATACTTACTAATATCATTAGTAATGATTCCAATAATATCAAGAAAACATGGAAAAAAGTACTTTCCGAATGAACTATATAAATGTCATATGCGCGTATATTAAAATATATTCCTTGATCTGAGAATGTGTGACATTTTAGTATTATAATTACTATTATTTAAATTTATTTTCGATCGATCATCATCATCTTTGATTAGTGTAGTCGATGTTGTTTCTTTTCTTTGAATTTTATGTTACGGATCTTTTGTAAAGAACAATATGTCTTACACCTACCATACAAAACAATATAAAGTCAAAATAGTTCTCTGAACATGATTGATTAGGCTTTTTTGAAACATCTTCATTCTCTTTCTCTATCTTCTCGACCTCCTTTCGACAAATCAACACAAATCAATCTCTTTCATAATTATACATTCTTTAACTTGAACACATTTGCTTTTCTTTCTCATGTTCGAATCAGATAATAAAGCACGAAGGCAAGAGAAAAGAAAAAAAGAATATATATTGAAGAAAGAAACAAACGATGCAGTCAACACTATTTGTCTGTTTTGATTCTAGTTAGTCTCAAATGATTTTATCATAATGTTACCTTAGAGTATTGTTCGTCTAACTATCGTAATAAAAGAATCACTTTCTGGGAAGCAAATCATGTTGCCTTTAGAGTATTTCATTATTTCTTCTTAATTAAACGTCGATATCATTTTCAGTTAATGAGACTTCTGAATTCAAGTTTTCTTTTTAGTTGACCTTAGTTCTAATTCTGTTTGTGATTATTGATACTTTCAAAATTATACAAAAATTCAAGTATACTTAGCATCAAAAGCTTCTTTTCATATCATTGCAATATATGTAGCTCAATCTTGTTTCACTTGATTATTTTGTCGACAAATATCGTCCTATGACCTTCTTCTCTCATTCATCATAATTGACACAATATTTGCTGAAAAATGATATAGATATGTGCAGATACATTATATGCGTGTGTTAGCTATGAAGTTCTCTAAAAAAAATAATTTACTCGCTGACATTAAGAGAAAAAGAAATATTCAAATAAAATATTAAAATTTCTTTTTATAGACCAGGTGGGCTTTTTTTGAATAATAAAACGAACTAGCAATGTAAATATCAAACAAAGCATTTTTTTCCTGTCCTACTTTTGTCTAGTTAGACAAGTCGTTGAATAGTATAGAAATTTCAAAGAATTTCGTTGAAACAAACCTTACAAAAAATAATCAACATTAAAAAAAGAAGAAGTGTTGATTTTTTTCTATGTAGGGAAATTTGTTCAACTGCTTCTTAAAACTAGTTTTCTTTGCATATTTCTTGTTTTTCACAAGAGTTCGGAAACGTGCCTCACTCACTGTGCTTACAGACTAGTATCTAATAGCACGGATAATCCATCCTATCAGACGCACGTCGTTATTCTCAGTGAGTATATCGCTTTTCCGAGCTCCTAGAAAAAAAGAAACATGCTGAGAAGGCTGTTTTTAATGAGCAATTGAACAAAGTTCCTCGATGAAGAAAACACGAAGTTCTTCTTTTTAATTTTTATTATTTGTAGTAAATTTTATTTAAAAGAAATGCCTTGAAATGTTTTTTTTATAAACATATTCTTGTAACGAAGAACAAACTCTATCTGAGTACTTAAAAAATGACAGAAAAAATCTTCTGCTCGATCTTTACATTGCTGGCACACTATATTAATAATACAGGAATTAATGTTAATTAAAAACAGGAAGTTATTTTCGAAGAATGAAACTAATAGTCATATTTGTGACTGATAAATATTGCGAAGTTATATTGAAATAAAACACTTCATTTGTTCATTAATATGATTCTGAAATTCTTTCTGACTTTTCTAACAGCATTACAAATCAAAAACAAAAATAAAAATAAAATTCAAATACATGCAATAGATAAAAAAAACTGCGACATTGCGACCGAAGTTTTCTAATGTACTACATTAGAAGAGCACAAAACCTCGTTCTGACATTAAAAGTTATATACCTAAGGTATGAAACTAAATATTTTCTCTTGTAGAATATATAATTAGTCGCATCTTAATAGAAACCATGAAAGGTTGTCAATTCTAACACCTTTCTTTTCTTTTTCTTTACACTTCAGTACAAATAATGTTCTCCGATTTGTGCAAACTTTTTCAATAAATTATCGCACGTCATGTAATGGTATGTTTTTCTCAGTCTGTTTTTATACTGTGTCTATGGGTTATTCGTCAATTTATTATGAGCATCTATCTGACGCAGAGACTATCTTTCATTCTAGATATTCTTCTCTGTCATATACATTATAGAGCTGTCTTCTTGTTATCGTGATGTATATTCATTTACTTGTCACTTGGCTGATTAATTATTTAGCAAGGATTTCTTTGATATCATTTGTGTTATTGCATAAGTCGGACTTTCATTTCCATATCAACAACTTTCTTTATAAAAACTGCAGCAGTATTTCTATTATTATGTAGTACACTTATATGACAAGCTCACATTAATGTTATTTGAAGAAACATTTCATATTTTGAAATAAAATTAACTGAGTATTTTCTTTATAAGATTACTTTTATAGTCAAAGATGAATATCTATATTCGTTATTAGAAAAATAGTTGAACAAACTTTCTCATTGAAAATATACTCTTAGCCAAAATAGATCTTTTATTGTATATTCTACATTTTTGAGAAGTTGCATCTCAATCACTATGCATCAACAAAAAAAAAGTTGGTCCTCATCATCTACAGCTTCTCATGTTGTATTAAAACTTTGTGCGATGCTGAGACCTGGATACAGAGACACTACTACGATTTAAAATAATAATCATTTCTTCAGGACGTTTAATCAGTACGCAATCTTACAAGTTTGTCATTATAATAAAAATATTACTATGTATTTCAGTTTAGAATCTATCTACTAAATTTATTTCTATTTATATTTGCTTGGTATCATGACATTTAATACCATAAAAAATTTATTGTTTTCGTATGTTATTCAAATTCATGGAATTGTATAGATGTGAAAATGTAAATGTCAAAATATGCGATAGAAATAATTTTGTAGAAAAATATAACATCATGTACAACTGCATGTGTAAATTTTAAATAACAAAGAAATAATAAGGATAAAAAGATGGATATATCATATGGAATATGCACAAATGATGGAAGAAAAATTTATTCTCAATTATATCATAACAACATATGTCTGCATGATTATTTTCAAAAAAGAAATTGATATTTTTATGACGAAAAAAGACATATATAAATAACTGGTTCTACCAAACGTAACACCCACACCTGTTTATAGAGAAAATCTAATTATTGTTAGTAAAAAAAAAAAAAGCAAGAAAACCCATGAACATCTCATTACAATGAAAGGGAGTATAAAATAAAGCTTTTGAAATAAAGAAGGATCAGATTAAATATTGTATTCTACTCAATCTGATAAAAAATAAATAAATCTTAATCCTCAAACTCCATAAAGTCTAGAATATTTTTTTAGTGCAACATTTGGCTAAATGCCAAATTTGTATGTAAGAAACGTTCATAAATAAATATTACATACAGATAATAGATGCTTGTAATATACTGGATAATATTAAAAAAATAAAAACCGTTGAATGACATAGTGAACGAGAAATTACTTGATAAGTTGACAGAAAAATATTATTATGAGTTATGTTTTCAGTTAGATAATAGTTAACTGGGACTATTTACTATATTTAAATAAACATTTGACGATGATGTGCCAAAATTGTATAAGTAGCAATATGTTTCGTGTTTAGGTAGAGATCCATATAGATGATTGATACATGTAAAACCTGTTATTAATTGATATTTTCTGATGTTATATATGGAAATCAAGTATCATATGTAATTTTGTTGATTGAATTTGATCTAGATAAATTAGCACTTCAGTCAAGGAGATTGATTTTGTTTCATATTTGTAAGAAGATTTAGCTCAAGACGTAAATTAAGCAACAAACAGATGATGTGTATTATGAGTTTATAATAACGTTTATGACGTCAATGACTTTCATTAAGTCGTTAAGGCCATATATTAATACGTACTTAATAATGGCTACATGTTTTATTTATTACTATAGAGCTCTTGAGTCAATGCTTGTCTATTAATAATAAAAACACTTATAACTTTAATGTTAGGAATCATGATGAGAGTGGGCCGAAGAAA